CCTCCGGTGGGACCAGCACAGCCACCAGCTCTGAGTCCAGCACAACCTCCAGTGGGACCAGCACAAACTCCAGTGGGGCCAGCACAGCCACCAGCTCTGGGTCCAGTGTGACCTCCGCAGGCTCTGGAACACCCACTCTGACTGGGACGCACACAACTTCCCACAGAGTTAACACAAGTGCCTCTACTGCAGTGAGTGGGGCGAAGCCTGGGGGGTCCCTGCTGCCATGGGAAATCTTCCTCATCACGCTGGTCTCAGTTGTGGCGGCCGTGGGGCTGTTTGCTGGGCTCTTCTTCTGTGTGGTGAGTGCCTAATATGTAAGAAAATGCCTGGGGGAGGGAGCAGCAGAAACACAAGGAAACGGGTGTGAATAGAAGGGGTCTCAAGTCAGAGGTGGGTAGGGAGGAAGGGAGATCAGGAGAGAGTAACACAGAGAGACGGCAGGTCAAAGCAGAGGAATCTGGCGACCTGCAGGAAAAGGGGGCCACAGAAAGGACTGGAGGAAGGAGAACTAGGAAGGAGTGTGGCTGGAAGTGGAAGAAGATTCCAGAAGGCATCTGTGGTGAAGGCTTGGGAGACAGGGATACAATTATGAAACTATTGACTCTTCTTTTTCTAGAGAAACAGCCTGTCCCTGAGAAACATCTTTAACACAGCTGTCTACCGCCCCCATGGCCTTGGCCCAGGCCCTGGAGGGAATCGTGGAGCCCCCCACAGGCCCAGGTGGAGCCCTAACTGGTTCTGGAGGAGACCAGTATCCTCGATAGCCATGGAGATGAGCGGGAGGAACAACGGACCCTGAGCGACTCCCGAAGCGAGTGCCGCATTCTTCAGGAAGGAAGAGACCTGGGGACCCAAGACCTGGTTTCCTTTCATTTATCCCAGGAGACCCCTCCCAGCTTTGTCTGAGATCCTGAAAATCTTGAGGAAGACATTCCTCGCCTCTCTTGCCTTTACCAGACACTGGAAAGAGAATACTATATTGCCCATTTAGCTAAGAAATAAACACATCTCATTTAACACACATGACAAGGAGAAGCTGTGCCGTGCCCCGGGGTGGGTGTCTGTAGCTCTGAGATGAACTTCTCAGTTACAGGAGAAAACCCCCATGCTGGACTCCATCTGGCATTCAGAATCTCCACAGTAAAATCCAGAGACCTCATTCTTATCTGTGTGTCTGCATTTTCTAATCCTTTTTGCCTCAGGCAAGTTCCCTGCATCTCTGAGACACTCCGGTTGGCCGGAAAATTGACTTGGGAGAGATAAGGAGGGAGGGCAGGTGCCAGGATGCTGCGGGCTCGTGTGTGACGCCTGTGGTACACAGCGATCAGGTTGTGAGAGCCAAGAGCAGGATGAGGTGGAGGTGGTACAACTACCTGCTCTGTGTGTGTGTGGAGGGGTGGGCGGGGGGCATATTCACTTGAAGTTGAGGTTCCCAGGGCATTTCCATGTGCTCCAGGCCTGACTACCCATCAGGGTGGAGGAGCTGGTGACACTCATCTCCCTAAGAGTGCTCCCTTGGGGAGCAGAGAGACAGTGTTCCCTGGATTTCCAAAGGAAAGACTTTCTGGTCTGCTAAGGTCGAATCTTCCAAGAGGCTCTTGGCAAAGACCTGAGATTCTCATAAATCCCCTCCCAGAAGAGCTGCATGTATCCTTTTCATGAGTCCAGGGAAGAGGGTCCTCCAGGTCTTGGAAGACAGAGGGGAGTTGCTTTGGAGGCTAAATTGCTCTGAGCCCACAAGGTAATGGAGGGCTCCTACCTGGGACAGAGCCCTCAGCAGAGAATTAGCAGTCTGTTGGTGGGTT